CCCCAAAACCCCAAAACCCCAAAACCCCAAAACCCCAATAAAGCATTATTTTATTGAAAATGGAGCAAAATGAATCTAAACAAGAGACAGCCCAATGTGAAGCTTTTGGCTGCTCAGTTCAATTTGAAGATGAAAATTACTGCCATGTACCTAAATGGGGACTCACTGTGTGCCAGAAGTGACGAAATGACCTTTACAGTCAGGTGCAACACAATTATTTGAAGATAATTTAACCATTGGATTTAGGAAACATACTTTTGATCCCAAGACTTAAAGAATGCTGATAAAGAAATTCAAAGATTGCTATTTATGCTGCTAAGTAGAGTTATATTGGTATTTTATAGCTACAAAGCAAAAATATATGGAAATTACTGGTAAAATGAAAGTAGATCAGCAGCATGTTAGAATTGTAGATTCTCAAATTCAGCAAGCACAAGGATATTTGAAGAAGATTGAGGATCAAGATGATATATCAGCCTTAGGAGAAGTTCTAAGCAATACAAGAGACATTAAGCAGCAATTTGAAAGCAGCTTTCCTGTAAAAATTATTAAAGATATCCTTTTCAAACAATGGCTAGGTAAATTTCTGTCATAAAGTTAGACACCACATCAGCTCCCGTTCATCCTCAAGCTTCACTCCAGCCTATCCCTACCACTCTCTGAACCCCTGATCCAGCTCCATCATCTCAACCAGCTCCATCATCTCAACCAGCTCCAGCTCCATCATCTCAACCAGCTCCAGCTCCATCATCTCAACCAGCTCCAGACCCCACCGACTTCCTCAAGCGCTCTTTCCAACAATACTTCACTCTAAAATCCTCACCTGCTCAGTCACCTCCTACTTGTCTTCCTCTTTCACTTCCTGCAGATTCCTGTATTACACTTAACTTTGAGCTGCCTTATTCCTCGCTTGCCCATCTTCTTGCACAGACTGTTGGCAAAGAAGCGTACCCTGATCCTTTCAACATCACTGAAGTGATGTTGCCCCCGCTCAGGGCACTGGCATTGGCCAATGTGCCTGGGCCAATCCCTGATTTGGGCAGGTTCTGTGATAAGACAGTAAAAGGGCCTTTACAGGCCTTTTACTGGAATTATCCAGCTCTGGAGAAATATTGGACTGAGAAGGTGACATTTGATGTAAGTGTAAAGGGGAATGAGGGTGGAGAATTCTGAGTTAGGAGGTTTTTGGATTTTGAAAATTGGAGATGTTTAAATTTAATTTGGAATTGATTGGTTTGGATGGATTTTTTGGATAGTAAGGGAAATTAGAGGGAGAGGAAATGTAAAGAGTTGTTCTAAGAGATTAAATGTAGGGTATATCAAGCAGTATTTAAGAATATAAGTGATGAGATTCTATTTCTTTGTGCAAAGATAAATAGAAATACATTTATTGAAATACTGAACACAGCTACAGCTAAAAGAATCATTTTCCAATATTCCAAAATAAATCTATCCTCAGAAAATTCAAAAGATCCAGAAATTCTCCCTCTTACTAACACTAAAACACAAGAAATTTCTTTCCAGGAATGTTGTGGTGATGATATAAATCTTACAGGTAACTTTGATGCCTAACCTCATAGAATCCGATTTGGAGTTGCTCATAAAGTAATCCTTTGTACTCATCATAGATCTATTTGAACCACAGAGATGCACAAATCTCTAAAAACACTAAACATCAGTGAATGTAGAACCACTGTAGAAAAGGTAAAGCTATTATTTGAAAAACATGGAAACAGCAGTGTTGAAGTTGTAGATGAGTATTGGGAACCTCAGTATATTGAATAAAAATTCAACCAAGAGTTAGGATAAAGGGGTTTTGGGGTTTTGGGGTTTTGGGG